TATATACAATATGTTACTTACACATTTCCACTATTGCTTTGTGCAACCCTCGTTAGCCTTGATCTCTGCGCTGAGTGTTTTGCTTAGCGCATAGAAAAGTGTCAAATTACAAGAATCACACGAGTGAAAGGTCTGCGGCTGCCGTCTCCTGCTCAAGGCAGACGAGGGCCAGCAATCGAGGGATAAACGGGATTAGCACGCAGACTTTCAGCAGTGAGTGTTTTTCGCCAACTAATTGGCGAAAACTAAAGGAGCCGCAGAAACTGTAGGCCGGCGAGCTGACGAACTGTCAAGCTAGACGAATCCTAGTTTGGTTCACAATTTTCCATTTGATGAACTTTCCATGCGATCAGCTCTGAGAGTTTAATTGGCTATGACAAAGGTCTTGACTTGTTTAACATACAATTTAGCTGACCGTGTGTATTGAAAGGGGATTTTAGAGACAGACAAAAAACAAGTAAGAACGTTCCAATAGGTCGTTATCGACTGAAGAATACTCATTCTCGCCCCAAGCGCAGGCAGATTACATTTCCGATTTACCACGCCCTACAAGACTCTGACATCAGCGAACGAATTGATAGACGAACAGCGCACAAAGCTAATAGACTCATTTCATTAGCCTGAATGAGTATATAACAAAGTTGCGTAACTGAACAAAATGACAGAGGGCCAACGAATGGGGCGTTTCTGAACTGTTTTGCATGTGCATTATGTCCGGTTTTTTAGTTAAAGCCATGCATTATTTGTTTTGCAATAGCTGCAATCGCTAATGTGCTGCAATCAGCATTTAAATTCCAACATGTAATTAGAGACAATCTCTAAAAAAAAAAAATTAAATAAGCAGAATACAAGAAAACCACAAATTTCCATGGAAATGGTCGGTTCATTTTTTCAGATTTTGCAATAGACTGGAATTCTGTGCACAAATATATAATCACGCTTTATTATATGTTACATTGAAAGACTAATAAAATAAATGCACGTTTTGGAAAGTTATTTTCTGAGCGAACGAAGGTTGTGCACAATTAGAATTATTTGTCAAATAGAAGTAAATAATAAAAAAATATTAACTGCTACTACCAATAATTTAGTCAATGGCAATGTCAAGGTTTAAATTTGCTACATTATTTATTATATTTTGTAATATTACCTTTTTATAAATTTTATATCAATAAAATAAGTTTGATAAAATTTTTAAAACAGTGTAATCAAACTAAAAGTTACTTAAAATCCAACTCAGATAAATATGTATATTTAAGAAAATATATATTAATATAGCTATCTAAATTATATAAAAAAAAAATTGATTTGTTAATCTTTAAAGAAAATCGAAAATTTGTTTATTATAAAAACCATTGAAAACTAATTAAAATTTTAACAATATATAGAACTCTAGTAGCAATATATCAAATACATCACTTGCTCATATTTATATTAATTAAATAATATTTATTTATATTTAATAATATATTTAATAAAAATAAAAAAAAAAAAATTCAATGTCTGTTTAGTTGCAACAAACATCAACAGGTTGCAGTTAAACAGCAAAGCAAAAATATAATAAATAAGAGATATCCTATAGCAAAAGCTCGCAGGAGTGGCGAAAGCGGAAACTGTTGCCAATTAGCCAAAGCTGACCTGAAAAAGCAAACGAATAATTGAGCATGAAGAAACAAAACTAACCGAAACAAGCAGCAGCAACAGCGCACAGAAAGAAAAAAAAAACTCACTCAACAATGTAGCAGCGGAACGTGTTGGAATTGTGTGAAACGACGCAAAGACGCTCAACGGCAGCGACAACAGCCTGGCAGAGATAACAAGAGACGACAACGGCGAAAAGTTGTCTAAAACCCCGAAAAAAAAAATAACGAATACTTACAACAACAAAGGAAACATGAAGAACCGCAAGCAAAACGTTTGCACTTCATAAATGCCACAACGTGTGCTAGAGCGAGAGCGAACGCTAAAGCGCCGACATTTTTAATTGTAAATGAGTTATGACGACGACGACGTCGACGTCGCAGCCAGCAAAAACATCTCTCTGCACAACGCTACGTTCGCTGAGTGGCCATCAACGTCGTCGCTGCTCACTCCCACTCAGCCACACTCAGTCCGCGGCAGCGCATGCGTGCGAGTGCAATGACAGGCGACACGTACATGTGTACGCCTAATGGCTGTCACGCTCTTGCGCACACACCATACCACAACCCCTGCGCTCAAATAGCAAATATGAGTTGAATATGTTCCAGTTGATTTCGCTGTGTCTGCTGCTGTTTGCCCGTTCGCACTTGTGCGAGTTGAGTAGGCTATGCAGTACATGCGTCCATCTCGCTTTCACTTGCTGTATGTTTAGTTGGAAAACTGGTTTCCCGCTGTCATTCGTCGCTGCTGCTGCTGCTGCCGCTGTCGCTGCTGGTTGCTTTTTTTTCGCAGCCACAACACGTTCCCTCACAAATTTCCAACACACAATTCAGTTCGTCGTCGCCTGTCTTACGTAGCGCACACACTCAATTCGCGTTGCGCTGCATTTTTTGCATTCTACTCAAAACTCGCGTGAGTTACAACACTTGCTCAACACACTGTCTCTCTCCGTGTGTGTGTGTGCGTCTGTGTATATGTACGTGTGAACGTCTGTGTTCTAGTGTATTTATATGTGCGTGCATATGTATTGCATTTACAGTTACAATTACAATATATATACAAAAATGCAACAAATTTGATTTAATTAGTGTTAAATTCAAGTTCAATAATATTTAGCTACGCAAACTCTATCTCGCAATTCTCTGCAAAAAGCTTAAAGCTAAGAGCTCTACCAAAATGCTTGTTGGCTCGCATCCGTATCTATGCAATGGCGCTCTGCCGCCCGTTGCACCCACCAGCAATAACAACAACAACAACAATGCAGCCACGGCAACGCCAACAACAACAACAACAGCTGGCAACAAAAGTGCCGCCGGCTCAGCAACGGATTTCTCCATAGCCGCGATTATGGCACGCGAAGATGCCTCAAGTCGCGAATCCTCGGTGCGCAGTGCAAGTAAGTTGAGCAAAAAGATAACGAAATAAAGGTGAAGAGGAAGCAGA